ACCGAACTGAGCCGTGACCCGGCACAAAGGTCACGGACGACCGCTGACAGCGGTGACGAGGAGACAGAATAGGGAGAATGCGCTCACTGCTGAGCCCACTGCCGAATTATCGAACATTCGCTGCTCATTGCATAAAAAACTGGCCACAGAGACGAACTGCACATTTCTGTCTGACATTTTGATATTACCACATCGGATCCTTTTGTCGATAAACTTTATCGGTAAACATTGTCTGATCACAATCGTGGATTGGAAAAGTCCCATGCCCCTATAAACATGTCTGGTGTATTTTTCCACGTCCAGCGACTGGTCAACGGGCCAACGACCATTACGTCGATGGTCCGACACAGGCATTCCGGCCGGTCGGGATTGGCATGTCGATTTCACAACTGACGCCGCGGACCGGCGTGGGCCTGTGACCAGCCTGTGACCAGTCGGACTACCTCTGACCATCCCACAGTCTCCGACCTGTGGGCTGGAATATCAGTCAGTGTGCTGGTTCAGCCCGCGAACTATCACACCGCGCACTCGCTCTCTCGGCCGGGGCCAGTCAGCCCCTGAACGGGTGGCTTCCGGCGCTTGGCTGGTGTGAAGCCGTGACTGCGGCCGCGACACGGCGGGGAATCGACCCGGAAGCCCGACAGCGGGCACACGTGCGGTCACACGCTACCCACCGCCATACGGGCTCAGCCGCCGCCACCGCCGCCACCGGCCATCGGCGATCGCCACCTCCACCACGCCCAGGCTGCCGCCACCGGCTATCGCCACCGCTGCGATGGTCGCTGCCGTCGCCACGGCCATCGCCACCGCTGATATCACAGCCACGACCACCATCGCCACCGCTGTCACCGCCACCGCCACTGCTGCCGCCATCGCCGCCACCGCTGTCGCCACCGCCACAGCAGCAGCGGCGACGATGGAGACGGCGGCCGCCACCGCCACCGCCACCGCCACAGCAGCAGCAGCAGCAGCAGCAGCAGCGACGGAGACCGCCGCCACCACTGCCACCACCGCCGCCGCCTCCGCCGCCACCGTCCGCTTCTTTTCCACCATGGATGCCAAATGACAGCAATGGCGGCAGTCATTGTAGTGGATGTGATCGGCCGGAAGGGTACAGGGCTGATGGCTGCGGACACGCCATACCCGCCCCTCGAATTTCCCAGTCATCACCCATTGCCTGTCCTTGCTGCTGTGACACAATGGTGGGTGGGAGTTCTTCATTATATGCGTGAGCTCTCATTTGTGCTATAGGTTGGATAATGTACCACCAGCAAAAAGTACACGCACTGTTCTAGGTAAATCTTATCGGGCTTTTTGCAGCATTCTTTTTTTACAAAAGCTTCCATGGTTGAATTTTTTATCTCTTTAGCTGCGTCATTGTATTTGATATGATCCATACAGGGCGGACGCCATTAATGATAATTAAATTGCGAAACCACGAAATGTAAGAGTGCCGTCACTTGGACCATAAAAAACGATTATCAGATGACAATTCATGACTGGATGGACTTCAACCCCCGTGGCCACGCCGAAAGAGGGGAGGGGAGAGGAAGGAACAGAGCGAGGACAAGCAGTGTCTAATCACGCTTCACGATACTGTAGAATCCCACAGTCTCAGTTGTTGACCGTGCCGGGTGTCACGGCTATTAGTCATCGGCCACTTCACGCTGCTTCCAGACGCCGTTCCGTGGAACCCTAAATCTGTTCCAGCATACCCACAGCACCATTCATTAAACCATAAACGACTCGTGCTCTGATGAGCACGGCTCTCAGTGAGCTCTTCGCGGTGTCTGTCACGCAACTCTGCAAAGGTAGGTATCTAATTTGAGAAACATTATTCAAAGTACAAAGTGAAAAGTGCATTGCGCGGCTAATGCAACGAAGTGATAACGGGCGCTGTGGCGCAACCTGGCCTGCCGCTGTTTTGTGCGATCAGGGAGCTGATCGAACGGCTGGCTCTCAGCTCGCCTCGTGGTGCTGGTGCTGAGTGCTGGGTCGCTGCGTCTCTGACGTCAGACAGGTTGAGGCGGTTTGAACTGCACGTAGTGTTTGTGTAAGTGTTACTCTCCTTTTGAGTACCTTATTGATCATTTTGTAATTGATTCGTTCTTCGATCGGCTGAAAATCCCAAGCGCTTGCGTCGGTAACTCGTGATTTGGTTGGAGATCACGAAGGTCTGTTATATAAGGCCATGTCTCCGCAAGTTTTCCTCACTGCTTATACCCTTTTCATGATACAATTGTGGGCTGAGATCAGAACTTGAATCCAGATGTAGTCAATAGTCATGGTACCAGATTTCCTTTTGCGAAAGCACAGTCCATGCACTGTAGAGAGGTCCGCTACTGGCGAGCTATTTTTTGTGTAATACTGTGGAACGGGCGCCGATGACTTCAGCAGTCCGGGGCGGGAGCCCTGAAACCTAAAGCCTAAATCATCTTCATCGCAGTGCCGGTGGTGCCGCTATGGATCTAGTTTCGACCACCAGCACGCCCTGTCTAACCAAGCCAGACCGCCGAAGACCGCTTGCCTGTCTACTACCGTCCGTCTAGCGCTTCGCGCATCGTACTCCGCCCACTGCTGAAAGGGCTGGCGGTGGCACGCGCCGACTCCCTCGGGCAGGACGGTGGAAATTCCAGCCAGGCTATCCGCTGCTTCTTCTTTTGGTGCACAGATGGGTTGTCCCCGCTCTTAACGTGGTGATGTCTGCAGGGAGTGAGGGGACTTGGGGTTAATTCAGAGTCGGTAGATTAGTTGCAGCGGGGACCGATTGGAAGGTGAATCATCCGATGTAATAGCTGGAAAGTCCTGACATGACGCTTGTCATACAATGCCTATGCGGCGGTAATGCTGGGACACGAAACATTGTCAGAAGTGATCCGACATGTTCGTTTTGGGCGGAATCTATCACGGAACAAAGTAAGCCATTACTTTGTTTGTAACTTCAGGAGTGATTAAGTAGCTGCTAGGAAATTCCATTTGAGATTTAGCTGTCCAAAAGTTGAAAGAGTCCACCTGAGAGGCCTTTTCGTATCTTGACCCAATGTCAGTGTGCGCAATTCTGGTTACGAAACGTGTCTTTTCACGGCCGGGCGCGCTCGATTGCTCCACACTGGCCATCTCTGGCGCCTTTCTGCTGCTCTCCCAGCCCGTCTCCAGCCCGGTCCAGCCCGTCCCCAGCCCAATCCAGCTCGTCCCCAGCTGAACCCAGGTCGGCGCCGCCCTTCCCTGTTCCAGTCCGCGTCCGACCAGGCTTAGCCCGTACTGTCGGTTCAGGGCGGCCGGGCGGACTCAATTCTGTGGTATTCTCTATAGCCGTATCTGTGAGCAGCTGCGTTGAGCAGCCGGCCTCTTCACGCTTAGTTTAGACGAACATGATATTTTTAACACATGGCTGCGTGCTTGGCTGCTTAGTGTGGTAACGCACGATTGTGGTATACGAGGCCGTTTTCCCGATTGCACCAGCGTCCCTGCCGAGGTCGGCGTATCGGCGGCGTCACTGTCAGTGCTAACGGCGCACATTCTGGCAGTAAAGTGGTCCTGCCTCTGAGCTGCAACGGCGCAGTGTTCAACCGTTGTCTAGAGTGGGACCCGGTACCTAAAAGTCAGTCCTGACTGACCGTCTAGACTCGTTAGCTGGGCTGATATGAAGCCGAGTCAGCGGCGCTCTTGTGCAAACACCACCCACGCTCTCAGTCGTGTGGGTAGGGATTCGTTTCGCTGGGTGGGTGTGCCCTATCTAATGCGTTGTGACTAATTTAGATTGGAGTTTGGTGAGAAGCTCCCACAATCAGTTCGAGTGGCTGTCCTTGTGGTGTCAGTGTAGTACTGAGGGGCGCGGCCATTCGTTGTGGTTGTTTGAGAGATGCGAATCGAATGCAGCGAAGGAGTGACAATAGGTGAACTAAAACACTTCATGGTGATTACAGCGAGGCAAATTTGGCGACTGTGTTACTTCTTGAGCAAAGTTAAAGCGTAGGTTTGTATTGGGTGCTGTCTCTCATTAACTCAATTTCTCATTGCTGATAGCAACCTGAAGTGCGTCCTTTGCCATAAGCTATATGAGGCGCTACCTTACAGCTTGCGTGCCGGTAACGAGCTGGTACCGATTAGGGGAAAGGTCTGTTTGTTTGTTGTGTGTGGCTATAAACACGCGCATCGACCGGTACCGATAGTGCCTCGGCACGGGGCGGGCAGGAGAGGGATGGGGAAGGGTGGTGATTAGGGGGTGCGACGGCTGTCTTTTTTTGAGACTGTCAGAAGGGAGCTCTCGTGCTGTTGAGACGCTATTAACCAAGCCTGTGCATTGATCCCAACTATAGCAAGGCCGTGTGTTCTGTGTGATTGGATTGTGTCACCTTACGCTGGTCAATGACCTACCGTCATCTATCCTGCCTGGTCATTGACCTACTTCTGCCGTCAGTTCAACGATCAACTGGCTAGTGTCTATCCTTCCAGTTTACACTAACGTCCTCGATGTCCTCTCAGTTCATCAACCTACCAGTGCCGACTTGGATCACTGATCTTCTGAATATCCTGCTAGATCGATGACCTACCGAGTTACCGACTATCCTGCCAGATCACCGACCTGCCGTCTATCCCGCAAGATCACCGACATTTCTGATTTCGTGGGAGCTATGTCGTCCATCCACACAGTCCTCAACGGCTACCATACCAAGCCAGACTCATACCTGCGTCCGATCCAATCGTCCATTCATATCAAGCAAGTCCGGTTGTCCAGCTCGTCCCAGCCACTCCAGACGTCCTTTCAACTCAAGCCAGTTCAGCATTCCGTCCAGTCAAGTCGTCCGTCCATATCCAGCCGACCGAGCCTTCCGTCAATATCCAGCCAAGCAAGCCTTCCGGTCATATCCAGCCAATCAAATGCAGCCAGTCGATCACCCAGCCAGACCATCTATCCGTCCAGATTCAGCCAATCAAGCCTCTGGCCACACTCGGCCTGTCGAGCCGCCCGGCTGACCGCGCCCCGGCCGCCGTTGCAGATCAGTGTCAGCCACCACGAGGCGTCCAAGCCGCGCAGTCCACACGATCGGCCAGCGTCTCACGGCGGCAAGGGCCGGCCGCCGAGCGCCACACCCAGCCAGAGCAGCCGTGACGATCGTCGGACCAAGAGCGGCTCATCGTCCGCAGGGGGAGGACCGCCGGCCGCCGCGCCGCCGACCAGCAAGGTGAAACATCAGGTGAGTGGGACGGCGGCGGTGATTGAGATTATACATTCTTGGACGATAGTCCTAGATATTATTTCCTGTATGTTTGTTAATATCGCTCGTTATCAGCTTTAAAAAGGCCGAAATATGCATAAATAAAATACAGTAACATTAACTATACGTTAGGTACTGAAATACTGGCAGTTCTAATTACTTAACAGTGCAGCAAAGCTTACAAATTTTCTTTAAAACAGAAGCCCTCGATGAAATCAAGCTATCCAAGAAAACCATCCAAGAAAACGTCTCGCGCAAAGTTTCTTGGATGACTGGATTGCATTGCAAGACTGCATCAAACATACAGGAAACTGTGTAAGGGATGTGTTGTGGTATGGGGTGGAATTCGCTGGTATGTGTCGTGGAGGGGCGAAGAGTACCGTTATCGTGACGGTAGGTGCTGGAGATGGACTGATGTCTGAGGTGGGAGGGTGGTGTGGGGGATTGTGTCGTCTTTTGACGAGTTGGTGCTGTGGTGGGGACCGGTTAGTAGCCAGTGCGGTCAGAAATCCGCACCGCTGCGCTGCACTGAAGGTCAGTGGGTACTGCACCGGTGTGATGCGAGTAAGCCCGGTTTTGAGGGACGTCTGGAGCGACGCTGGACGAGTGAGCGTCCGTCCCGAGGCAAGTTGTCTTGACTGTGATGAGATACTCCGGGTCCCGGGTTTCGACGTAATTCCGACCAGTTACTTAACGGTTAATTGATTTTGGTCGAAGTCACGAGGTAGATTTCTGCTTCCAGACAGTAGTCGTTCTTGCAGTTATTGAATGCATCGTATGTCATTTTGCATGTCATGAATGAAATTGATGAGCTCCGATGCATAATATGCCGATCATTTTCTTCTTGTCAGTCTTTACCGATGTCTGGTAGGCTGACGCTAGCTTATTTCGTCTGCATCTGCACATGTCAGGGCCTCCTCTAACATACCCACTGGGTGGGCAAATGCCCACCCAGTCACCACAATTGCCCACCCAGTGGCGTCGATTTGCCCACCCAGAAGCAAATGCAAAAATTCTGGTCCGGCCGGACGTCCGGTACTACCTTTCTGGTCTTAAGCAAACTGGATGCTGTTTGAAGGCCAAAAAAAGTTTTCTGGTTGCCCGATATTCAGGGGCGTAGCCAGGATTTCCTCAAGGAGGGGGCCAAACGCACAGGGGCCCAAGATAACCCCCTCAAAATCCAAAAAGCCATCTGGTTGCATCCAATATTTTTTGGAGGGGGCCCAAATAAATAGGGAAAAAATATTTATTAACAAAAATATTAGAACTTAGGGGGTAAGCAGTCCATGGGCCCTGTTAGATAGGCCCACGAATAGCTTCATAGAGTCGCCAGTCGGTTTTGAGGGCGGTCTGAGGGCCCGTAGGTCGGATGAGGGTTCTTCAGACCGTCAGAGGCCCCTACAGCGCATGAGAGCCTCGTAAGCCGTCTGAGGGTCATATAAGCCGCCTAAGGGCCACTAAGACCGACAAAAGCCCTCCTTGCACTTGCAGAGGCCCAGTCATGCCGACGGAGGGCTCTCTTAGACAAACTAAGGACCCGTTCAGGGCATTTGAGGGCTTTCTCAAACCGATAGGGCCCCCTCAAATCGACAGTGGATCCGATCCGAGCTCCCTCAAACCGATATAGGGTCAGACCAACAGTCGGAACGCATTGATTCTGTTTACACACCGTTGGACCCAAGTTGATCCCATCCCATCCAACTGGCCCCCTGGTTTCAATAGGGCCCCAAGGCTCTAAAATTGGGGCTCTCTTGGCCAAAGTATAACTACTCAGCTGTGTCAAAGGATCTGCCGCAGGGGCCTTTGCGTCGCCAAGGGCCCACTGTGTCAGCCAGGGGCCCCTATAGAATAAGGACCCCTGGCTTCCAGGGGGGGGGGGCATGGTCCCTTTGGCCCCCTCATTGGCTATGCCACTGCAGGTGACAAACGTTCTTCCAGGCGACCAGGGGGCAGGGGCCAGGCGACCAGGCCCCCAGGCGACCAGGGGCCCCCAGGCGACTAGCCCTCAAGCGACCGGGGCCCCCTAGGCGACCAGGGGCCCCAGAAAACCGGGGGTCATCGGATGAGTGCAGGGGCCCATTGGGTCATCAGAAGGCCAGAGAAATGAAACTTCGATATCAATTTTCTTCCGAGTAAAAGACGTTTTATCCAGTGTTTGAAAAAATATCCCGGGGCTTGAGGGGCTCTCCCATGGCGCGTTTTGCGCTCAAGGGAGGGGGCCATTGCCCCCGTGGCCCCTCCCCCTTGGCTACGCCCCTGCCGATATTGTTATTCATGGACAAAGCCAGCTAAATCTCTAAATACGGCTGAGCTGAACAAATAAGCAAGAATCATTACCGGTTCGGGTAGCCTTTACTACAATGTATTATGTTAGTTAGCCCTCGCCCGATGAGGGGGGTTGATGCACCCCCCTAAGCCTTTTCACAAATAACGTAAAAACGGCGGCGCTCAAATTTCGCATACCCTCTGGGGCAACCTTTTGGCACTTGTCCTGAAAATTTCAGGTCTCTAGTCTTTTCAGGTCAGGTCACCAGGTCACAAACCCGGTACAAGGTCAGGGGAAAATTGGACTAACAGTTTAGCGGCAACCGAATGCCAGAGTTTTTCGTTGATAGCGTGAGTTCTATAGCACGTAGCGCTACCAAATTTAAGACACGACTTGGAGCATCTGTTTGTCACTTGGCCTTGGAGTTTTAGGTTCCAGTGACCCGAGGTCAGGTCACAAGGTCACAAAAACTGGTGCATTGTCAAAATAGCAAGAATACCGAATAAGAATACCTACCTACCACGCAGTTTGCAGAGGGCTGTACAGTGTACATGTAACTCTGGAACGAATCGCTCGAGCATTGCTAACAAGGGCGCACACAAGGGGGGGCACACGGGCCCGTGCCCCCCCATTCGAGTTGGGGGGCCCAACTCGAAGGAAGGGGCCATTTGAGGCGGCCGAAGGCCGCCTCAAATGGGCCTCTAACTAATCCTTAGACCACCGAAGACCGTGTACAACGGGCCCTCAAATGGCCTTAAAGGGCCCTCAGATGGTTTCAAAAGGCCCTCAGATGGCCTCGAAGGGCCCTCAGTTAGCGTCATAGGGCCCTCATCTGGTGTCAAAGGGCCCTTAGATGGTGTCAAAGGGCCCTCAGATGGTGTCAAAGGGCCCTCAGATGGCCTTAAGGAGCCCTCAGATGACCTCAAAGGACTCTCAGATGGCCTTAAAGGGCCCTCAGATAGCCTCAAAGGGCCCTCAACTAACGTCAAACGGACGTCAGAAGGCCTTAAAGGGTGTCAAAGGTCCCTGAGCTGGCGTCAGAGGGCCATGCCCTTGCGTCAAATGGCTCTCCGAAGGCTCTAAAGGGTCCTTAGCTGGTGACAGAGGGCCCCCAGCTGGCGCCAAATGGCCATCAGTAGGCCTCAAACGGTCTTCAGTTGGCGTCAAGCGGCCCTCAAAAAGCCTTAAGGGGCCCTTAGAAGACCTCAAGGGGCCCTCAGAAGGCCTTAAAGAGCGTCAAAGGGCCTTGAGCTAGCGTCAGAGGCCCCCCCCCCCAGCTAATGTCAGAGGGCCCTGAGCTAGCGTCAAACTTAAAGTGCCCTTAGCTGGTGTCAGAGGGCCCCAGTTGGTGTCAGAGGGTCATCCATTGGCGTCTAATGGCCATCAGAAGGCCCAAAAACGATCCTCAGCTGGCGTCCAACGGTCCTCAGCTGACGTCAAGAGACCCTCAAAAGGCCTCAAAGGCCCCTCGACTGCTCAAAGGGCATTTAGAAGGCCTCAATGGGAACTCAAGAGACGTTAAACGGCCCTAAAAAGGCTTGAAAGGGCCCTCTGCTGATGGCAAAGGGCTCGCACCTGAGTCAATAAGAGCCTTGTCAAAAAACGGACCTGAGAAACCTTGTCGGCCCTGGTTATCTGCGGGACTCCTACATTTACCTGAGTGGCCCCCGTTTACTGAGGGGCCCTGGTTATTGATGGGGTCCCTGGTTACTTAAGGGGCGCCTGGTTACCAGAGGGGCCATGGTCACCTGGTGGGCCCCTGATCAATTGAAAACCCCTGGTCATCTGAAACGCCCCTGATTACCTAAAGGGTCCCATCACTTGGATTCAGTGACATAGCAAGGGAGCGAGGGGGTACGTGCCCGTTCTCGGGTTTAAGGTTCCTTCGAAACCGAGGGGCCCTGCGGCGCCAGTTGGTAGCAGAGGGTTAGCGCTGGCCGCACTTCAACTCGGAAGGACACCACAGGGCTTGTGGGGGGACGTTATTGGCTCCTATGTAGCCACAATTATCTTCATAAAGGCCCAATGCCGGTTTCTGAGAGACCTCGCCGGCCGCTCAGGGCCCTAAGCAGTAACGGCCAACGAGGGATTGGCTGCTATGGCTCCACATCCGTCTGTGATTGACACACGGTCCACACCAGTGTTTCTAAAGGCACCCACAATGGCAACTGCGAGGCCCCTCGCCCCACCTCCAAGGGACCCCCACTAGCGCATCTTAAGGGCCTACACCGACGCCTCTGAGGGCCGCGTACCAGTGACTCTGAGGGCCTCTTACCAGCCTCCGAGTGTCCTTGCCAGCCTATGACGGGCCACTTTCCACTTGCAGGCCATTTTGCAGGGCCACACACATGCCAATGATGGCCCCACCAGTGTCTCTAAGCCCTAAGACCCCGCAACGGCGCCTGTGAGGACCCAACACCAGCGCATCTGACGGCCTTTCAGTGGCACCTCTGAACGCGCCACACACCGGTGACTCTGAGGAGCTGTTGTTGTTGTTGTTGTCGGTCCCCGCAGCCGCGGCGAAGCCGCGGTGTAGCCTAGTGGCTCTGGAGGGCCCTGAAGGCGGCCACCAGGGCCGCCACTGCATCGCTGCGCCGAACCTCCTCTGGGGTCGGCAGTATGTTGCCGATGGCCTGGGTCCGGAGGCGGACCCCCATCATCCCCGGGCATGTCATGAGGATGTGTCTCGGTGACTCTGAGGAGCTCGCTCGCT